GGGTTACAACTCTAATTGTATGGGCATCTTGTTTATTAAGCATTTTGAATTATATAAAGACTTTGGATAATATTATGCTTTAGAGTCTCATTTCTACCAGGTACTGCATGGATGATGGTATTGTCTGGACTCAGCTCAGCCCTGTGGAGACAGTGTGGAAGATTGTCAGAGCCATCTCCCACACTGGTGTCTTGTGTGTGACAGGACAGCTACTTCTGACCCACCTGAGCCTGTGGTCTGAGCCGAGCAGCACTGAGAACATGCCACTGCTCGTGGACTCAGGCCTTGTCTAGTTGGGAAGATGGCAGCTGACTATGAACAAGCCAGATTGGGTGCCGAATTAATAAGTCCTTCAACAGATTCTAATCCTATAAGTTATCCTGGCTGCCTCCCAACGAAAATCCCTGAGATTCTTACATTTTACTATTGATCTGGCCAGCTCTGCTTCAAGTGTTTTCCCATGGTGTCTACTTAAGACCCTCTCCTGGTGACTGAATTCTCTTTTTCTTCTTTCCTCACCACCTCTGACTGGTGGCAGAGCAACCCATTTTTTTCTTCTGCCCAGCCATTGGATGATCAATTTTTTATTAACAAAGCAGAGAATAAATGGGGAGCAATATTTATACAACATTGAAACAGAAGACATTTAGAATAAGCATTACAATGCCAGGTGTGGATTAAAACCAGATATGAGAGCAGAGAAATCATCAAATGAATAACACAGGGTCAGCATTATAGAGTGCACAAAACAATATACTTTTCGGTTTTGATGGTTGAGATATTAATAGATTGATTGTGCAATAGACTTGTCAAAGACCTAGGTACATGCTATAAGTACATATAGCTGACTGAGGTTGATGCTAAGAATAAGACAAAGCTTCCCAAAGTACTGTGAGCCAGATCAGAATGGCCTCCATGGTTCCATGCCCCAAGTACTCAGGATGCCTTTGCTGGGAGCCATGGGGTAGTTAAGGGAGTTGATCTACAGAGTGATGGTCCTGAGGGGCTGTAAAATGATATTCCCAGGACTAAGAGAAAAAAGCAAGCCTGAGTCTGTGTGGGAATAGAGGAAGCAAATAGGGAATGAGTATAAGTCATGGAATAGGCTGGGGCCTCAAGGAGAAGCCCAGCACTTAAGATGGCATTTGTCTGCTCATGTGACTTACTGGATGTGGACAACAGGAGGACCAGTAGAAGAAAGTGCAGGGCATCCTCTCACTAGCCTCATGCTCTCCAGTGAAGTAAGGGCATTGTGGGGTAGGGGTAGGTTCCCGGGTAACCACCATGTTAGAATAAAAGAGAAAAAAATTCTCCCTCAAAATAGAATAAGAGCACATCCATTACCAATTTGTAATAATAAGCTACAAGACAGACGTAATACCCAGCCCAATATATTGTCAATAAAAGATCATTGTTGTCTGTCTTGACTTAAAAGACTTTAATTCTGTACCTGGCTTATCTTGGCTTTAGAATGAATGCCATCTGAAAACCATCCTCTTAAATCTCTTTCCTCAAAGCAAATAGCTTGGGTTGACTGGAGACTATAAGTATTCAACTCCATCAGAAATCTAGAATGACTGAATTAACTGAAGATATGGCAAGACAAAGTACAGCTTCCAAAACATAGCCAATTATATAGACTTCTGATTACCCGGACAGTCCCTTATACTACAAAACATTGGAACATCTGTTCTTCAGCCTTCTTCCAAAGGATAATCTGAGAGAACTATAATGCAGAATATGGAAGGGCTGATCACTCTCCTTTGGCAAACATAATCAGGCAACTATTCAGCAAGCATGTCTTTTTCTTGGAGAGTATTGTCAGTAGATAAAAAGAGGAAACTTGATTAGTGGCTGTCTCACCACTACTGGAGTAAATCCAAGATGCTCAATTTCTTCTTAGAATCCAAGAAGGGGAAGCTGTCAGGAGCAGGCAGGTCTCTAGTCAAATGATCTTTCATAAAGAAATGTTTGTACTGTCAATTCTGTGGACTTATGAAAATTTTGGAAACTATCTATCTCTGCATAGCATTCTGGACTGTTGTCCATTAATTACTCTCAGTTATTTCTAATTAAAATCTAGAAAATTCCCTAACAATAAACTCAGAGCCATGAATTTGTTATAGGCCCTTAACTCACATTGCTTAACCATCTGAAAGCCATTAAAAAAAACAGTTAAACAAGGACTGGGTCTAAGCCTTCTACCCACAAATTTTGAATTAATAGCAGAAATTATACCAATGAAACCCTTGAATTTGCATGAAAATTAATTATGTATCATCTAAGAAATTATAACTTCAGCTTAGAGACAATTATACAGATTTCTATTAATAGACATTGGTATACAATCAATTCTAGCTATTCTTTTCTGTTCCAATAAAACCATTAATTTCCCCTAGAAAGACAGGCTAATATTAACCACCTCAGTCCTCAAGTCTAGCGAATTGGGGCACTGACCCTTCATTAAGGTTTTCTAGCTGAAATTGGGCATTGAGATATTAGAAGTGGGGCAAAGAAAAGGGTAAATATGGGAGTCAGTTGGCCTAAGAAGGCCATACCAGAAATTGATAAGCCTCTGATGTCTATGTATTGACTGGATCAAGCTGGAAGTCCAGGACATCAGGAGTTCAAATAGGTCAGTTCAGCATGTTCTGAAGAGGAGATTCATTCACAAGGGCTGTATGTTCTGTAATATACAAATTTCTAAACAAGTTTTTGTCTCATCAAGATAAATTTTTGTTTGATTCTCTGAAATCTAGTCTTCTTGAGGCCTACCTCTGTCATCTTATCCATATAACTCTGGAAGGTATAACTATCTTAATGGCCTCTTCTGAAAACACACAGACAAAACCTTTCCCCCAAATCAGAATGTCCTTGAACCAGCAACTAGAAAAACCTTTATCTTGACCTTTTTTCCAGAGGAAAAGTTAAAGTCATCTAAAATAAATAAAATAACTAATGTACTGTAAATGCCTATTTTCAGGCCTTTCTATCTTGCTCAGCAGGAAATAAACCCAGAATTCTCGTGGGGCCCACATTAGACAGAACCTGTGTATCCTGTGAAGCAGTATAACTTTATACCATCTTAATACACCTGATTATACTATCTTTCTGTTTGGCTCTCTACCTAGAGCAGGTTTTTATTTAAGCCATCTATCTGTTTGGCTCTCTGTCTAGAGCAGCCTTCTAGTCATTTATTTATCTGGAGTTCTCTCTATAGGAGCCATAGACAAATTTTATTACCTGAACAAAGCAGGTGTGATTATCACTGTACTCTCTACCTGGTGTCAGTGACAATTTTCCCTCTCTTAGTTCCAAACTCTGGGCTATACTACCCATATGATTGGACAAATCTGTTTATAAATTCTTTCCTAAAAGCAAATAATTCCTATATTGTAAATTCTCATTTATATCAGTAACTGCTCCAAAATGGAGGCTTATCCATTTGGTTCTCGTCTCAGAGCAGCTGCATTTTCTTTCAGCAGTGGACCTGTCAGCAAGGAGTTTCTTTATTCAAAGTTCCCACACTAGAGTCATGTGACTCATATCACCTCTACTGACTTACTCAATTTAAATAAACATGCAACTTTAACTCTCAGGTAAAAAGTCCTAAATTTCTAGTTAATTTTTTTCCTTGAGTTGGTGCACCACTTTTTGTGGTGATATTTACAAAATGGAGCCTTGTCCAGCTTGTTTCTGGGCAGCCACCAAGTTCCTGCTGCTCCTTGGCTCTGACTGAGGCTTTGGCTAGCTGGATGCACAGATCCTGGCACCCACAAGATGACAATGTGGAGGATGGCTCTGCCAATTCATCAAGCCGCATCCACAAAACTCGGCTGAACCTATGACAATATCTCCCACCCCCATAGTACCCGGTAGAAATGAGACTGTTAAAGCTTAATGATTATCTAAATGATTTATGTATTTAGAAATGCTCAATCATCAAGATGCCCACACAATTAGAATTGTTCTAACCTTTTGATAGAAGTCGCTACCCAAGACAGCTTTCAATCCATTGGTGGTTCTCCAAGGAGGATAGGCTCCTTCTTCTCCTCCCCTTCCTCTATTTTTCCTCCCCTTCCTCTTTTTCTCTCCTTGCTCCACTCCTCTTCTACTGCCTAATCACCAAACTTCATTGTGAATACAATGTGGCAGAACAAATATCCTCCTACACATCACAGATAGTTGTGAGACACCATGTGATTGTTGGGAATTGTAGCCAAATATGCTGGAAGAGCAGCCATAGCTTAAGTGCTAAGCAATCTCTTCAGCCCCTTAGTTTTGTTCGTGACAAAGGGTGTGTCTACATTTATGTGGCTGTCTTGGAACTTGCTAAGTCAACCAGACTGTGCCAAATGATGACTCTCTCACTAGCAAACCTAGAGAATCTGAGAAGCATCCATGTGATCCCTGAGTTACTCCACTGTTATCACTGGACATGAGGAGCCCGCAGTCTTGTGATAAATCCTGGAGCCAACACATGAGGTCAGTGTCTGTGCACCTCCTTTGTCCTGCCAGCCTGGTGAAGCCTGAGACTGCTTACATGCTATTTACCATCAGACAACCCCAGTCTCCACAGTGTCATACAACTGCAGTAAACAGACTGTGGGGGCTCACATTTATAAGCCCAACACTGGGGAGGAAGACACACATGGATCTCTGTGAGTTCTAGGGCAGCCTGGGCTACAGAGCAACAAAAAAAGTGGGGCGCAGTATCTCTCTCATCATCACCTGTCTAGACAGTGGAGGTCACCTTGGTCTGAGTGTCCACAAAAGTCATTTCTCTCACTGTTTCCTGGATCCTCTGAAGACTCCCATTCAGCACAAAGATGGGGCACAGAACAGAGCTGCAAGCATTTATTAGACTGAAGGATGAGGGCACAGGTGTCAGGAATCCAACTTCAGGGGATAAAGAGGACAGATCAACAAGATAGTGTTTGGATTAGACAAGTTGCAAAGATGAGCTGCCTGAGACATATTAACTTCTAATACCCACAAACCATGGAAAGCTCATCCTTAATTTCCGTTGTAAGTTGCTTGGCATAGTATGTCTTGCATTCTGTGCTAAGAAGCATTGATGTCTGGAAAACAAAAAGAGACAGGGACTTAGGTGGCTACAGGTAAGGTGCAACACCTCAGTAGGACTTCCCAGGCACCTAGGATGAGACCATTCCTCATCCACAAGAAAAAAAAATCTCCTGCAGTGTTTCAGTATGCAGCAACAGACTCTGCCTCATGGGAACTGGAGGCCACCCACAGCCTTCAGTAGGAATCCTCAAAGCTTCCATTGTCAGGCAGGGGAGAAAGGGAGAAGGCTCTGGAAGGCATGATGGGGGATTGGTCTAGAGAAAGACAAGATAGCTTAGTATGAGTTTTGGTAATGTCTCCCATACCTGAGTACCTCTGTCCTTGCACAGTGGATGTATGGTCATGTTAAAAATACATTACCCCATGTTGGTGTGTTAGAAAAAATTCCTTTATGTATAGCACAATGGTGTAGAAGGACCTGACACTCAAACTAAAAGTATTGTGGGAACAAGACACAACTGCACTGTTCAAACTATTTATCTCTGTAATCCAGATAGGATTCAAACAAGAGACATCAGGAGAGAGCTGTGGTGAACAGCTGCAGACACTCTCTTGGTGTGGGGTGACATTTCAGACATGGTAGGAGGTTCTGGCTGTAGGTCACATGATGCCAGCAGAAGGGGAATCATCTGAGGCAGGGGAGTAGACTGAAGGGATGTTCCAAAGAAGACACTGCAAAGTAGACCAAAGTTTCGTGCATCTTAGAGTAGATCTGTGGGTACTGCACATGTGCAGAGGTCAAACAAAGGAGTCCCCTGTCCCTACTTTTGGTGAGAACTCAAGGCTTACCCAGCATGTGGGAGTTAATTTTGGGAATGAGCAGATTGGATGTGTCCCTGGCATGCTGCTTTGACATGTCCTATGGTGGGCAAGGATTTGAGTTTTTGGCTGCTGGTCACCTACACATATTAATGGCTACATTGGGCATTTGTACACATCCTTCCACCATTTGCTGCATGGGTGAGTGGAGGTAGCAAGGACATTACCATAAGTTTCATATCTTCAAGTTTAGCTTTAAATCCTGCCTCCTGGTAGCAGGTTTGGATTTTTTGAAAGGCTGCTGTTTCCTCTTCAGTAGGTTCAAAGGAAAAGAGTTCCTTCTTCAACCAGAAACTGCTTCCAGAGGCAAGACTTGAATATATACTGAAGAAAGGAGTGCATGCTTCTGCTGCAAACACAGACAGAAAAACATCCTTAAAAGACCACAGGCTGGGAAATGGAGAGATGGCTCAGAAGTTAAGATCCAGTGGTTCTGACTTCAATTCCCAACAACCACATTGTGCCTCAAACCATCTGAAAGGGGACCTGATGTGTGTCTTAAAACAGCCACAATGTACTCATATATGTAAAAATGAGTGCTACATCATTGGGGAGAGAGAGAGAGGTAGTTTAGGCTGACAGACTCAGAGACTCATGTTACCTTGCCTCATCTATAAATGTCTTAACTGAACATGCCCACAGTCCTGCCTTCCCAAAAGCTTCAGCCTCCCAGATACAACATTCATTCCAGAATACACACAATTCTAGCAGAAAAACATACATGAGTGGACAGGAATCCATATCTGACCTTAATGAAATCCACATACTCGCCTCAGCTTCAACTGTGTATCTGCAGGCACTTCATCATGAGTATCATCACCAGCTCACCTCTGTCTCTTTGTACCACCCACCCAATTGTTGTCACCCTGAGCAGAAAGCATCAACCTTCTTCTGCAGATTCTTGCCAGTGGCCTCCTGAGGACCCCTAGATCTATCTCAGGCCCCACTTAGAGATCTACATGAGACTGAGATGGGTGAGCGAGGGTCCCGCTCTCACTTGTCTGGAAGCCCAGCTCTCCAATCACCAGCAAGGCCAGCAGAAGAAGTGTCCCCTTCATGGTGGAGAGTGCTAAATGCTCTTCTCAGAGCAGATCCTCCTCCTTATAAACCATTGTAATGCTGAGCCCAGACAAATCCACCTATAACCCTGCCTCCCACAGCTCCAAATCCTTTGGACAAGAAACTAGGATCTTTGGATCCCCTTCCAACTTGCATAGAGGCATGAATATGGAGGCCCCTCCCGATCTTAAAACAAACAGCCTGGGACAGTCTGATATCATCAGTTTTAGGAGAGAAGGAACTGTTCTGTTTCTGTTTGTACTTTAGCCAAAAAGAGCTTAGAGCTGCCCTTTTTAAGCAGCCCTTGTGCTGAGCCGAATGCCCTGTGGCCCTGTGCCACTTGTCACCTCTGTTTCCTGGTCACTCTCCTCACCTCTCCTGGCTCCAATTGTCCAAGCTTCTGAGGACTTTGGATTGGAAGCTGAGGACATGGAGACACCATTTCCCATTGGTAACTCTCAGCCAGGGTAGTCCTTGGCTGTTTGGCCATATGGGTATCCTCGGGGGCTGGTGATGTTTTTGTACCACAAATTCTGCTTCACTCCATGGTAGCTCATTCCTGTTTTCTTGCTTGCCTTGTCCCCCTCTCAGCTCTGTCAGTAAGCACGTCATAAAGGGGTTTGAACAGCAGAGTCCATGTGGTGAGAATAGTGAGCAGTAGAGTTAGGGATTCACCCCATACATAGACTCTCGGTTGTCCACATCCCTACAGGTTACTGTGAACTGCTTGCCCATAAACTACACTACTGCACAGGTCACAGACAGTGCAGTGTGTAGATAGTCTCAAGATTAGATCAACCTACTTACCCTAAGGAAGACATTTTTGGTACAAAGGAGATTGTCAGCTGGGTGTTGTACTACTCATTTCTTGAGACAGGAAGCTCTTAAATGTAATCTCATCTTGTTTGTAGTGTGTGATGGTCAATCTTGAGGATCATCCTGACTGGGTTGAGAGTTGGTGTTGAAAGAAGTCTCTGTGTGGGACATTTCAGGCTAATCAGTTGATGTGGGAAGACTGCCTTTCATGTGGCAGTGTGGACTATCATCATAGACAGGGTTGAAAGGAGACAACAAGCTGAGCACAACCACTCATGCCTCTCTGTTTCCTAATTGTAGCTGTTATCAACCACCTCCAGTGTCTGAACTGTGCCTAGCTCACCGTCATGGTCTGTGTCACTTCAAACTGTGAAAGAAACTGTGTTTCTTACCTGGCATTTGTCATTAGTTCCCTACAACAGTGGCAGAGTATTGTTTTTAGCATGTGCAGATTCCGGGGATTGTTCCACAGCCCCACACACATAAACAGGGGCAGCCAAAGGGATGGATAAGTGTTCAAAGTGCTTGTTATGCAGGCATAAAGTCCTGGGACCCCTGAAGCTGGTGGCATGCACAACTAATCACATGTGAGCTCCAGGTTCAATAAGAGATCTTGTTTCAAATTGTGAGGAGGAAGACTGTGGAGACAGCTCAGTGACTGAAGGTGCAGTGATTGAAGGTGAAGACCTGAGTTCAAATCCTGAACCCACTTGATAGAAGAAGAGAGCTGACTCTTCAAAATTGTCATCTATACACACACACACACACACACACACACACACACACACACGGAGACACAAACATCTTGGCACCTCTGTCCCTACACAGACACACACTCATAGAAGCACAGGAACACATGAACACACACCTACAAATGTCTCTGGAAACTCCCATGAGGAAGCCCGAACAAGCTCCTAATGGATGAATATCAAACAATTTAAACAAAAAACTAAACAACATGACATTGGAATGTATTATAATTGTGAAATCACCTATAAACCCACGCTCCCGTGAATGGTTCCATGGCAGATAAATGAACACGGATGAAAGTCACTGTTCTTACATCTCACAGAAGACTTCCTGAGGCTCTGTAGATGTTCCTCCTGGGAGTTGACTTCCCTTCAGTCCTTCAGTGTGAGCTACATGTTCTCAAGAAAGTAACATATTGGACTTGGAGGACAGGCTAGTCAGTGAAGCACCTGCTGAGTGTGCTCACATGAGTCCATGAGTTTCAGCCCTCAGAACCTGTGAGGATAGCCAGGTACTAAGTTCCCCCTGGTAACTCCAGCACTAGGTAGTCCACTCCTGGGCTCACTGGCCAGCCCATCTAGCCAAATTAGCAAGCCCCATGGTCAGAAAGAGGTTCTGTTTCAAAAAATATAAGGTGGTCTCAGCTGTAAACAAGAACCAGATTTAAGTACAGCAACCACAGGCAGCTAACAACCATCTGTAACTACAGTTTCAGAAGATCCAGTGCTCTCCTGTGACCTCCACAGGGAAAGAAAACATGACTGTATAAGCCACTAATGCAGGCACAGTCCACATACAAATAAAATAAAATGAAATAAAATGTCAAATAATTTTGTACATATGCATGTATGCACACATGTGTGCATGCCCACACAGACACTTACAAACATATATAATGTCTATACACACATATTTATATAGAAGAGTACGACTCAAGGCGCCTCACTGTCTTTCCTTGGCCACGTTGTGCATACACAGGTATTTTCCATGTGTCTTAGTTATGATTGCTGTTGCTGTGATAAGACACCATGATCAAAAGCAGAGTAGTGTGGGATCACCCAGCAGTAGGCACTTGCTTAGCCACACTATGCCCTTCTCTCCATTCCCAACCCTGTACAGAAGAGAGAAGTTCCCAGTTGGCACATTCTACAGGCCTCCACAGTCCTCAACATGCAAGGTCATACAAACAGAGACCAGTGGACTCAGCAGAGAGCTCACAATTACATCTCAGAACTTGGCACCTAATTGCCCATACAGTTACTAAATATAAATTCTGTTTGGCTCAGCTGTCCAGTAAAAGTCAAATGCTTAAGCCTTTCTAAGTCTTCAGCAAACTTCACTGTGTCACCAGCCGATGTAGAATAATTGGTAGTCATGTGTGCTTCACAACAAGCTTCTTTATTCTGACTTATCAAAACACTTTCAATCTTTACTTTTAAAATTAACTACCAGGCAAATTACATAAACACATAGACTTATATAACATAGGCGTGGGGATGGGGAGGTGTTAGGCCAAGCCTGAGTTATATGAGAACATAGAGTTGAATGATTTAAGAAGGGTCTTGTTTATAGACTTGAGGGGAGTGAGATAGCCTTTGGCCAGTCTAACCAGCATTTTTGAAGACCTCCTATGTGTGGTGACCCTGGGAGAGAGTACGGCCCTGCTCTCCTGAGCCTGTAGACATCTAAAGAACATCAAAATGCAGCCAGTGCAAGAGGATCTAGGGAAGTAGAAGCAGGGTTTAGAGTCTTCCCTATGGTGGAGGTTGGCTGTGTTCTTATACACAAGGGAGCTATGTGCACTGCAGGGTTGTAATCTGTGTTTTGTTGCTATGACAAAAGATCCAAGACTGTGAAGTGCATATGGAAAGAAATTAATTTGCTTTGTGGTCTGGAATCTTGAAAGTCCAAGATAGAGCAATCTCTGGTAGCAACTACCTTGTTCTGTCTGAACACAGAGTACACAGCAGTAGGGCAAGAGGGGATTGTGGAAGACAGAGAGCAGAGGCTTCACCCTGCTTTTCCAGCATCCACCAAATAATGCTCAGGCCTGCCTCATTGGGATCCAAGGCTCAATTTGGTTGTTTGCTGTGTGCCCTAGACATGTTGAAACCATAGTTGACTCTCCCTCTGATGTGTTGGATTTTGATGTAGGCTGGGGATTTAGGTAACAAATTTCCCAGGTGAAGGAAAAGAATTTCATGCAGTGAGGGCAGAGCATATGAAGGCCCTGGTTCTTGCCTGGCACATCCTCATAGAGAAATGGTGTCCTACTTCATACAGGGACACTGCAAATGACAAAAGTACTAGGTAAATGGTAAATTCCATGGGTTTTTCTTGGGGTGGGGTGTAGCAAAAGTTTATTGATGGTATTTAAGAGAATATGAAGGGCTCCCTACTTCCCTTCTGTTGTTATGGGGGACTGGGTTGGAAATTGTGAGGGAGATGTTCAGTATTGGGGACAGAGACTCCTCAGCAACTGAGGGCCTCCCTCCTGCTCTCAGTGTCCTGGATGGTATGGGTGGTCCAGGGTTTCTTACTCCTTGGAGGCCATGTAGGCCTTGAAGTCCATGACCCTATTGCTGTAGCCATATTCATTGTCATACTAGGAATGAGCTTTAGACCACTGTCATTGAGAGCAATCCCAGCCCCAGCATCAAAGGTGAAAGAGTGAGAGTTGCTGTTAAAGTTGCAGGGTTGCAGGAGACAACCTGGTCTTCAAGTCTTCAATGTAGCACAGGATGTCCCTTCAGTGGGCCCTCACATGATTGCTTCACCATGTTCTTCATGTCATCATACTTGTCAGGTTTCTACAGGCTGCAAGTTAGATCCATAGTGGATACATTGGTGGTAGGAACACAGAAGGCCATGCCAATGATCTTCACTTTCAGCTCTGGGATGACCTTCCCCACAGCCTTGGCAGCACCATTGAATGCAGGGATGATGTTCTAGGCATCCCCATTGCCATCACTCCACAGCTTTCCTGAGGGGCCATCCACAGTCTTCTGAGTGTCAGTGATGGCACTGACCATGGTCGTGAGCCCTTCCATGAAGAAACAGTCCTCATAGATGACCTTGGCCAGAGGGGCTAAGCAGTTGGTAGCACAGCATGCACTGTTGACAATCTTGAGTGAGTTGTCATATTTCTCATGGTTCACATCCATCACAAACATGGGTGCATCAGCAGAAGTGGCAAAGATGATGACCCTTTTGGCCCTAACTTTCAAGTGGGCCCTGGCCTTCTCCATGGTGGTGAAGATGCCAATGGATTCCATGACATACTCAGCGCCAGTATCACCCCATTTGATTTTAGCAAGATCTGGCTCCTGGAAGATGGTGATAGGCTTCCCATTGATGACAAGCTTCCCATTCTCAGCCTTGACTGGGTTGTTGAATTTGCCATGGGTGGAGTCATACTTGAACATGTAGACTA